AAATACAAAACAAAGTGATTCATAATTGAATAATAATCCATTTCTTTTCCTACTATTTTGGGTTGCTGTCAGCTGACTCATTCTTTCCAGAAGTCATTCCCCTTTGCACCCTATATCCCTTCACCCTTTTATCTCTCTGCATAAGTTATAGGCATCTTCTCTCACACTTCAGCTTCACAAAACTTTTCTTGAACCTCCGTCTCTCTTGGTAAAACCAACTTAGTTTTTATACCTAGTGTTCTGTTTGGTAGGTATCTTTATTTATTTATTTATTTTGCTAGGTATCTTTAAATGTTAGTTGTTTTGAATTACAGTAATTTATTCTAATACACAGCCCATAATAATTTTTATCCCTTTCTGTCCTATCTACTCATATACTTTCCCATCTGCCCGCTTACCTATTTTTGTTCTAAATTGATGTTGTAATATGTTGAATGAAAGCAGGGTCAAGGGAAACCATGGGAGATTGTAAAGGCCACAAGTATTAGGAATTTTTAAAAACTGAATTATATAATGTATGCAGCTTTGCTTTTAGGAAAAAAGCTGTAAGTATCTGGCATATATATACACATACATATAATTCCATATAATCCATGTTTTGGGTTTTCATTTATTGAAACATATGCCTTGTGTATTAGTTCCTTCTTTTATTTCCTCATTATCATGGTTGACTGTATCTTTTGCGAGGTCCCAGTCTGTTCTGGCAATAAATTTCACTGTTTTTAGAACTGCGTAGTCTTCCTTTTTTGAGATAGGCTACAGTGCATTTTGAATTATATAGGTAAGCTTTAGAACTGAAAAAACTTTCGTTACTACATAAGTGATTCTACTTGGGAAAAATTAAAAGCAAACATTTGTGAAAACGTCACATTTTTATTTTCATCCTTATAACTATTTTTTTAATTCTTAAGTTACTTTTTCTAGACATTGAAGATAAATCTTAAAATGATTTTCTTTGTAGTATTTTTTAAGTATCTAGTAACCTTATTATAAGAAAATATTCTTACTTCCATAGCTTTTACACTCCTACATGCTTCTAAAATTATTAGTTCATCATATGAAAGATTTGTGGAATTATGCTGAACAGAGTGCACAACAGATTTTCTGTAACCTAATTTTTCCACGATTTTATTGCCTTAAAATCTTTAAAAACAAAAACAAGGGGCGCCTGAGTGCATCAGTCAGTTAAGCATCTGCCTTCAGCTCAGGTCATGATCTCGAAGTCTTAGGACTAAACCCCACATCTGGCTCCCTGTTCAGGGGGGCGTCTGCTTCTCCCTTTGCCTGCTGCCCTCCCTCCCCTGCCCGTGCTCTCTCTCTCAAATAAATAAAATATTTAGTAGCCATATCTGAATATTTAAAATGTGAATCAAAAAAATTTAATTAAGAATTCAGTTTCTCATTGGCATTGGATGGGGCCATTTTAGATCATTGTATCTTAACATACAGTCCTAATCAAAATCACCTGGGTATTCCTTTATGCATATAAATGTAAATTCCTGGGTTTAGCCCTAAATCTACTCAGTCACCAAGTAAAGCACAGAAATTTACATTTTTAATTAGCACATTGAAGTTTGAGAACCTTTATATAATTATGAATTATGAATAAAATCAATTTTATAGATGTTTGTATACATGATAAAAGATATTAAGTATTTAAAACTGAATAATCAAAAGTTGATTACAAAACAGGTTTTCAAGTGGTCAACTTCTAGTTAAGGATAATTGGGTTCCTAAGTTTCCCTTTTTTTACCTAAGATACTTTCTTTGTAAAGAGTACCTGGGTGGCTCAATCGTTAAGCATCTGCCTTCGGCTCAGGTCATGATCCCAGGGCCTTGGGATCGAGCCCCACATCGGGCTCCCCGCTCTGTGGGAAGCCTGCTTCTCCCTCTCCCACTCCCCGTTTGTGTTCCCTCTCTCGCTGTGTCTCTGTCAAATAAATAAAATCTTTAAAAAAAAAAAAAAAGTACCTGGAAACTTAATTCTTCTACTCAGTTTTTTCTTTCCTCTTCTGTCTCCTCTCTCACTCTCCATTTCTCCTTCTTTCTCCCCTACCTCCAGCCCCTCCCCTCCCATTTCCCTTTCTTCCTAATAAAATTAAGACTTTATGACTCTCCTTTAAGTACTATAGGAGGAAATGCTCTTGGAATAAAAACTTACAATATGGATGACAGAATAAACCTAAGCTATCTTAGGCAGGTAAAATCTCTGTCTACATTGATCACCAGAAAGTTCATTAACAACTTTGTGTTAGAAATGTTTCCATCGGGGCGCCTGGGTGGCTCAGTTGGTTAAGTGTCTGCCTTTTTGGCTCAGGTCGTGATCTCAGGGTCCTGGGATCAAGCCCCACATTGAGCTCCCTGCTCAGCGAGGAGACTGCTTCTCCCTCTCGCTTTTGCTCTCTCAAAAAATAAGATCTTTTAAAAAAAATGTTTCTATCAATAGGTAAGGGAGGGAATCCTCTAGAACAAGATCTGTGACAAGGATATCAATTGAAAGGTCATGAGTTAAAGGAATATATAATGTAGTCATTGTAGCGATGGTTTTTACAGGAAAAGAAATGTCTCATCATTAAGGATTATTCTCAAATAATTTTCTCATGTATAAAACTTGTGAGTTACAGATCTCAAAAATCAGGAGCTGTCCAAATGGTGTATTAATGAGTACACTGTCCAAAGTACATTTTTGTTTGTATTGGTATTCACATAAAATAACTAGATGTAATAATGAACGTATTTATTAAATAGGAAACTATCTTGGAAGGCAAGAACTAGATTTTATTTTTGTTTCTCCAACTCTCAACGTGTGTTTAATAATAGTAGGCAATCAAGAAATGTTGAACCAAATAACTAATTCTTTCATTAATTCTTCTGAACAGACTGGATTATGGACAGAACTTGGAAAGATTGAGAATAATTTCTTAAAGCCACTCCATACAGGACTTAATATGTCAAAAGCACATTATGAAGCAGAAATTAAAAATAGCCAAGAAAATAGCCAAGGTTGGTAATGTGCAATTTCATTTTTGGTTAGATCTAAAAATTAGTCAAATTTTAGAACTGTCAGTTATATTCAAAATAAAGACCTTTTTCATCTCATACTTGTTTATTTTCTAACATGGAACCATGACAGCTAAGTCATTTTATTTATAATTAAAATGATTTTTAGCAGATCTGTAAGCCAGTTAACACTGAAATTGGGTTAACAAAGATTTAAACCAAATTGAAGCATATTCTGGTTTAAAACCAGATTAAAATCAAATTCTGATTAAGAATATAATTGTATTACAAGTATTTGTTTGGATATTACACTAACTTGGGTATGGCTCTGTCCATCCTCACCCTCAAGTAAATCTGTACAAATTACAAAAAAGAATCTTAGATCCAGAATTACTTTTTAAAGTCAGCAAGCAATTCTATAATTTATGCTCTTTTCTGTATAGCTATGGAGTATTTCTTACAGGCATTACTAGAATTTTTTTTTTTAGTGTAATGGGTATAATAATGAAAGTAGCTTATAAATTACTGAAATCTGAGATTTGTTTTAATGGTTAAATGTGACACTTTTTTTTTCTTCTCTTACAGAAGTCCAGAAGTCTAAAGATCTTTGTTCTGTAACTGTAGGTGGAGAAGAGATCCCTAATATGCCTCCTGAAATGCAGCTTAAGGTAGATCTGAAATTTTCCTAAGCTATATCCAGCTGAAGACTTTTGTTTTTTTGCTTTAACAGCAACATTAATATAACACTAATTTCCCTTGGCACTGCAGGTCCTACATTCAGCTCTTTTCACATTTGATTTGATTGAAAGTGTTCTGGCTCGAGTAGAAGAACTCATTGAAATAAAAACAAAGTCTACTCCTGAAGAAAATATTGGGATAAAGTGAAACCTCCATTTCCTAAATAAAAACTAGTAAAATACTGTATTTTCCATTATGATTATTTAATACCCTTATAAAAACTTTTCTGTAAGACACTGCTAGAAAAATAAAGATAGCCTTTCTCATACTGGTTTCTGTGATGACACATTATGGATCAGTAGTATTCTTTGGTTTTAAAAAGATAGTTTACATGGTAAATAATGCCCAAATATGTATTCTAAATTCTGTTGAAAATCCAATACAAACTAATAATTTTGTATTATAATCTCATAAAATGTAGTTGTATTGCCCTCATTCATACAGTTGTAGTGAATTTATAAATACATTTTACACTTTACGTTCCAATTAGATGCTTTGTTATACTTCAGAATTCCTGGTGTCAAATAGGATATCACACCACTGTAAAAGTATACAGGAGAGGTTTTCAATTAGGCCAGTTGGCTGCTTCTCTTAATTTCCCTTTTTTTTTTTTTAAAGATTTTATTTATTCATTCGAGACACACAGATACAGAGAGAGAGAGGGAGAGAGAGAGCACAAGCAGGGGGAGAGGCAGAGGGAGAAGCAGGCTCCCCGCTGAGCCAGGAGCCGGACGTGGGGCTCGATCCCAGGACTCTGGGATCATGACCCGAGCCGAAGGCAGATGCTTAACCATCTGAGCCAACCAGGCACCCCTTAATTTCTCTTTCTTTCCCTACCTCAGGAGGAGTCTAGGGGGCAGAGTCCATCACCACCTCTCTAGCAGCACTTATAATATGAAAGCATCTGCAAACATTAATTTTAGAAATACTGGCAGCCCTTGTGGAAAAGCTAAAAAGTGTATGTGACTTTTCCTTTAGTCTAAGGGGCTAGTTAGAAAATGCTGTGTTTTTATTTTATAGTAAATATTTTCCATCCAACTTAATTTGTATCACTAAGGAACTGCATCTGAGTTTTATAATATATGTACCAGTTTTTTCTAAACATTATTAAATGGATTATCAACAAAACTGAAAATCATTTTTGATCATATACATTTTATTATTTTAAATTTTTTAAAAATCTTTAAATATATATTTGAACATTATAATTTAACTGGTAATTACTTTAACATTCTTGCAAAAGAACTTTTGTAATTGATACTCTAATTTGGATTAAATGAATCACTACTCAGTTTTAACTTTTGAAGTGTCTTCCAAACAGGACTTTGCTCAATGATGTAAGCCTCAGTTGTTATCATTCTATAGCAAATGCTGTCTGTGTATGGTTTGGAGGCAGTCTGTAAGAAGTTACAAACATGCAACATTATTTACAGAAATATTTACAAAAATAACTAATTTTTACAGGGTCATATAAAAAACTTTCACTTATTCAACAGGTATCAAATCACCTTCTTTGTGCTAAATACTAGGTATGAATTAATTATGAGTAACAGAAAAATGCTTGGTCTTTGTCTTTAAGGAATTTCCAACAAGCCAAAAGTAGAATACTTTAAGAACCGCTTTAATATGGAGATCTGTTCCAAGTATAAGAAAGAGTAAGAAACATCTAACTCTGCCTAGGGCACACTTCACAGGGGAGGACAAGCATGAAAACCAAGTGGACAACTTGTGAAGATCATCCTATAAAATAGTATGTTTGCACTTTGACAGTTCTTGTCTACAACCTGATCAATAATTGTACTTTAGAACTTGAAGGAAGATTTAAGAAACCAGCAGGGCCAACACAATGTATATATGCCAAATGCTCTTGGCCTAAAGTTAGTCATTCTTGTAATGGCTACTGGAAGTAAACTGAGAAGATGATAGGCTGAGTTCAGGCTTCAAAGAGCTGCATACTGAAAGAGCAACTTCTGAGGGGAACAGAAGCAGAGTATTCGTTAATCCTGCTTAAGAGGGTGTGCATTTTGAAGTCAAGACCTTAAAATCTATGAGTGCTATGTATGCGTCATTTTCCTAGGTGACTCACCTTAGCTATAGTGCACATAAGATTAATAGCATTTACTGTGTTGTGTACTGGAAGTATCCGTAAATTACTACCCAGGAATCTGAAAAATAATTCATAAATAGATCATATAACTTATACAGACATCTGTTAAGCGGAAAGGAGACAGAAACCTCTTATTGTTTGTCATGTATTTATTCATGCCCTGCCCTATTCCACAGAGGATATGATACGGCTTTATACCCAGAATTTAATAGACTAAAAAGTGTTCACTTTTGTTTTGATCTTGCACGAAAATCTCAGAAATCAGCATGAACTCTGAAACTTGTCACCCTGATTCTTGGAGTAGTCATTAGGCCTGCATTTTATTAAATATGACAAGTTAACATTACAATGTTTATCTTTTGGCAAAACATAACTCAACTGCTTAAAAGGTTTAAGAACTAAAGTAAACACATGTGATTTAAGAAAAGTCTATAGTACTATTCTTCCATACCTCTGCTGAATCCTGAACATCAGTTTCCATTCCTCAGGCCCATGGAGGGCAGCAGACAGAACCAAAAAACTCTTTTGGTGAATATTAATAAACTTCTCAATTTTGGCTAGAAATATTTCTTCAGCTGATATAAAGCATTCTTTAACATCCATCAATAAAAATGCAAGTCCTAGAAAAGGTAAGCATAATATAAAACATCACTTTGTTGTAATAATGAAAATTATTTGTAAACTCAGTAGATTCAACAAAAATAGCTATAATACAGCTCTAAGTGTCCAGGATGCAAACATGTAAGAAACAGAATTTACTGTAACAAATTTTTTTTTTATACATTTTATTTATTTATTTGAGAGAGAGAGACCCATGAGAGAGGGAACACAAACAGGGGGAGTGGGAGAGGGAGAAGCAGGCCTCCTCCGGAGCAGGGAGCCCAATGCAGGGCTCAATCCCAGCACCCTGGGATCAGGACCTGAGCCAAAGGCTGACACTTAATGACTGAGCCACCCAGGCACCCCTAACAAAATTCTTATACTACAAAATGATTTTAGCTAATTCTTTAAAATGCTCTATATAAAAGGATAACTTATTCTAGAGGAAAAAACTTTTTTGGTCAGTAACCATTTTCAAACCAAGGCACTGTACACAATGAAAGTAATGCCTAATTTTAGTTAAAAGTTGTTTTTTGTGTGTTATAATGACTTTTTTTTTTTATAAAGATTTTATTTATTTACTTGAGACAGACAGAATGAGATACAGAGAGCATGAGAGGGAGGAGGGTCAGAGGGAGAAGCAGACTCCCCGCCGAGCAGGGAGCCCGATGCGGGACTCGATCCCGGGACTCCAGGATCATGACCTGAGCCGAAGGCAGTCGCTTAACCAACTGAGCCACCCAGGCGCCCAATAATGACTTTTTTAAAAGCTGGAAATCAAAGATAATCTTAAGCCTTCAACTATTTCTTGGAGAAACCTTTGTAGAGAACATTAACTATTTTTTTTTTTTTAAAGATTTTATTTCTTTATTTGACAGAGAGAGACACAGCTAGAGAGGGACCACAAGCAGGGGGAGTGGGAGAGGGAGAAGCAGGCTCCCGGCTGAGCAGGGAGTCCGATGCGAGGCTCGATCCCAGGACCCTGGGATCATGACCTGAGCCGAAGGCAGACGCTTTACAACTGAGCCACCCAGGCGCCCCAGAGAACATTAACTATTATTAAAACAGTGAGCAGATAATCTAGGATTTTTTCTTTTAAGATTTTATTTGTCAGAGAGAGTACAAGTAGAGGGAATGGCAGGCAGAGGGAGAAGCAGACTCCCTACTGAGCAAGGAGCCCGATGTGGGATCATGACCTGAGCTGAAAGCAGACGCTTAATTGACTGAGCCACCCAGGTGTCCTGTAATCTAGGACTTTTGAAACAGTATCAGGCCTGTAAAAATAGTCCTGAAGGGAAATTTGATCCAATTATAGCTCTTTAAAAGAGAAGACAATCTGAGGAAAGTGATTATATGATTATATGCTAATTGAATGAACTTGCACAATTTACATAAACCTTCCTGAACTTAAGTTCTCCCATCTATAAGAATGTAATAATTCTTTCATAGGTTTGTTAAGAGGATTAAATAAGATACTGTATATAAAGTGGCCAAGGGACACAGGAGGTATTCAAAAACATTTCACTTCTCCCTAGAGGGCTCTATTCAACCAGAAAGGATGAGTTTGAAGTTGGACCACTTTCAGCCTGGAGTTTTATTTCTAGGAGCTTTTGAAAGCTGCCTGTCTTCCAAAACCTCTGCTAGAATTACCAGTCTATCTGCAACCCTCCTGGTAAAATCCTTTACCTCCACCTCTTTTATCATTTTGGTCATTTCCCTACCGCAGACCTATGCTCTGTGCTGCTCCCTTCCCATCCACCTTAGGCTTCTCATATCCTAATCTAATTCCTTCCTGTATTTTGCCCATGACAGTTGTACAGTTTTATGATTTGAGGAAATTTTGTCTCTATTTGGCTCTTTTCTTTTAGTTAGTATTTGTTTCCATTATATTCATCAAACTCTTGTACAAAATCCTGAAAAAACATTCTCCTATATTGTTTTTATATATGGCTTTTGACCAGTGTTGTGATGTTGGCCTCTTTAATAGTGGTAACGCATTAAGTACTGACTGTTGGAGAGATGGCTTTGTTCTATTTGCATCTTAGTTCCAAAGCATGTCGTTTTTACTATCCTCTACCAGATTCCATGGGTTCAGCTTTAGTTCAACAATAATTTTTGTCTGTTTGTTTAAAGAGGAAGCGGCGGGGGAGTGTGGAGGGGGAGAATCTTAAGCAGGCTCCATGCCCAGCACAGAGCCCAGTGCAGTGCTTGATCTCACAACTGAGATCACGACCTGAACCGAAAACAAGAGTCGGAGGCTTAACTGAGACACCCAGGTGCCCCCAATTATAATCTAAACAGAAATGCATGTTGTAGTTGGCCACGTGCATTACTTTTGTAGCAGTAATAAAAGTTTTATACATTTACTTCTCCCAAAAGATAGTACCTTAAGCTTCTTACCTGGTTATTGAACTACCACTATTAGAATTTATACTAATAAATTTTTTATAAGAAACTTAAATCAAGACAGTTAACAAATATACCATACCAGAAAGAGAAAATATAATTGATCCATTTTCCACGGAATCTGAATACCGAATCTTGTGGCTTCGATTTTCTAGGGCAGTTGCAACTTCACAACTCTAAAAAAATTTTTTTCAGAAACACAAACTTAAGACATGCTTTTAGAATGAGTGATTTTTTATTAAAGTTAATGAAAAAATTAAGTTTAATAGCTTCTTTTATAACCACTTAAATACCTATTCATCAAAGGAGACAGTAAATGTTCCCTCTGGTGAAAAAAAAACACTTTAAAAAAAGCAAAAATATTTAGTTCTACTGAAACAGTGTTTGGAAATGAGTTGTGCACTAGTTATTTTGGGACAGAAACTAAGGACAGTATTAAAGAACTATAAGAAACAGAGCAAATGCAAACTTAGTTAAAAAACAACTGGGGGGCGCCTGGGTGGCTCAGTCGTTGGGCGTCTGCCTTCGGCTCAGGTCATGATCCCAGGGTCCTGGGATCGAGCCCCACTTCTCCCTCTCCCTGCTTGTGTTCCCTCTCTCGCTGGTCTCTCTCTGTCAAATAAATAAATAAAATCTTAAAAAAAAACAACTGGGAGACAGATTCTGACATGCATTAATGTAAATTGGAAGGTGGGTGGTGGTGAGTTTCTTAGATGGTTCACAATAACATGAAGTGCCAGACATAGAATACCACAAGGAGACAACCAATTCTCCAATTCATTTGTGTACCTTACAGTTATTTTTATACTTTTTTTTTTTAATTTTAAGATTTTATTTGTCAGAGAGAGAGCACAAGCGGGGGAGTAGCTGGCAGAGGGAGAAGCAGACTCTCCACTGAGCAAGGAGCCCAATGCAGGACTCAATACCAGGACCCTGGGATCACGACGTGAGCCAAAGGCAGACGCTTAACCGATTGAGCCATCCAGGTGTCCCTACTTTTATACTTATTAAAAATATTTATTTATTTATTTATTTTAGAGAGAGAGCACATGGGGTGGAGAGGAGGGTGGCCAGAGGGAGAGGGAGAGAATCTCAGACTCCCTGCTGAGCATGGGGCTCAGTCTAACATGGGGCTCGATCTCACAACCCTGAGATCATGACCTGAGCCAAAACCAAGAGTCAGACTCCTAACTGACTGAGCCACTCAGGCACCACTTTTACTTTACTTTTAAAATGTTCTAAGCCTTAGACAAGTCAGAAAACATGTATAAACACAGCAACAGGGTTTCTACTTTACCATTTTAAAAATCATCTCATTTCCTACTCTATCCATCCAAGTAATTACTTAGATCATTTTATCCAAGCCACTAAGATATAAACGGTTGATAGTGTTTCCTGATTGGTTACAACTCAAGCTGGTTGTTCTCCAAGTAGACAAAAATCCCTTAGGTATGTTAATTTTACATTTTGCTTTAGAACGTGTATATTTTAAGTATACAGGCAGGAATTATATATAAAATATATGCTTCCTTTCTGTCCTAAAGAGAGTATTTTGTGCCAAACAGATCCTGACCTAGAGTACGACTATGGCTCTTCCCATGAATTTCTTCTGCTGTTTTAAAATTATACATTGATTCCAGCAATGGCAGACTAAGTAATTTAGGCCAAACCTCCTGCTGAGGCAACGAGAAAAGCTGGACAATTTTTAAAATCTGCTTGAATGCATCAGAGAACTAGCAGGATAGTGAAAAAGTATAAGGCCAAAATCTACACAGAAATTCAGAGATATGAGACCAACATTTAGGCCACCTTTTCCCTAAGGGCATTTGCCAATTCAGAAAGAGATGAGAGGCTGAACACAGCTTCTGACAAAAGTAGGACAGCTCTCACAGGGGCTATAGCCTACCTTCAAAGCCTTTTAATCCCTGAAATTGTCTTTAGGTGATACTGTATTACTATAAGCACCTTGCAGAAGCATTCCCTAGAGTAACCTTTCTCAATCAGGTTTCCTTATATAACTACAAAGAAAATTATTTGAGTTACTATTTTTTCAATTCTCACATAATTAGTGCCATTCTCATTGTAGTTCATTTATTACATACAACAGATGCTTTAAGGCTTGGATTGCCAGATTTAGCAAATAAAAATAAATACCCAGTTGAATCTAAGTTTCAGATAAACAAGACAATTTTTTAGTGTAAGTATTTCCCATGCAATATTTGGGATGTACTTTTACCAATTTCATTGTTTACCTAAAACCCAAATGTTGTAACTGAATGTCCTGTATTTTATGTGGCAACCCTTAGGGCTTTGGGGATTTAATTCTCTTGTAAAATTAAGACTTTTTTAGAGGAACAGAACGCTATTCTAGGCCTCAAGTTATTTCTACAATTTTTCAAATACAAATTCCAACACACGATCAAAAATAATCAGAGACAAAATTACTTGAAAGAGAACTATAAGAAACAATAGGCAATAGACTCACAGGGGATGTTACATATAGTGAACTTACATAGATACATGCCTTAAAACAGTGATGTTTACTATGTTCAAGGAGATGAAAGACAAGATTGAGAATTTTGGCAAAAAAAATCTGTAAAAGGATATAACATGTCAAAGAATCAAAAAGCTTCATAAAATATGAGTGAACCTTTAAAGTGGAAAGGAGTTTAGTAAGCAGACAAGGAAGAAGACAAATGTGAGAAGAGCAAGGACAGAAAGAGTAAAGGCAAAGGCATTCAGATGCAAAAGTATGATTCTTATATGGTAAGTGTGTAAGTTGTACACAAGTCAGTTAATTTGGAGATGGTATTAGGAATAACTGCTGGCATATCCTAAGGATCCATGTATGCCATGTTAATGAATTTCAATCATATTCTATCAGTAGCTACACCTGTGTTGAGTATATAGTAATGGAAAGGCTTGTCAAATCACTATGCTATACAACTGGAAACTAATGTAATATCGTGTGTCAACTATACTTCAATTAAAAATAATAATAAATTTTAAAAAATCATACTCCAGTGCCTCTGCTCAGGCAGGGCCCTCTGCCTAGAATGACTTTTTTTTTCCCAAGATTTTATTTATTTGACAGAGAGAGACACAGCGAGAGAGGGAACACAAGCAGGGGGAGTGGGAGAGGGAGAAACAGGCTTCCCACCAAGCAGGGAGCCCGATGTGGGACTTGATCCCAGGACCCTGGGATCATGACCTGAGCCGAAGGCAGACGCTTAACGACTGAGCCACCCAGGCGCCCCTAGAATGACCTCTTGACCCCCACCTCACCCCCAACTGCTAGAAATTTTTCCCAACTTTCAATGCCAACTAAAAGAATAATAAAAATAATAAAAGAAAATAATAAAGATAAATACAGAAAGTACTGAATTAAGAAAAAAACAGCCAAATTCAAGAGTAAATTTTTCGGGGGTGGCGGAAGTGTTTGATAACTGGAGGAAAGGAGGTGGGATTCTGAGGAATCAACCCGGTGGGGAGAGAAGCTGGCAGTTCCCACAAAAAGGAGCATTGCTGGCTGCTGCCACAGAATGTTCTGTGGATGTACTGAGCAAACAAGTACTGAGGTTTAAGTGTGTGTAAGTGAACGGGGTAGAGAAGTGTCAGGAAAGTTCACTGACTCAGCAATTGACTGCTGAGTTCGCACTCAATTGCTGGGAAGACGGTCACTGAAAGTTGGGAAAAATTTCTAGCAGTTGGGGGGTGAAGTGGGGGTCAAGAGGTCATTCTAGGCAGAGGCCCTGCCTGAGCACAGGCACTAGAGCGGTAAAAGAAGTCTTCAGTAGTACCCATTATGTTCACAGCACCTAGCACAGTTCCCAGAACAGAATGTGTGTTAATGGATATTTGTTTACTTGAATCCAAGCGTCCTTTGGGGGAGTCACCGAAGGTATCTAGTTAAGAAGGTGTATCTAAACCATGCTTTAGAGAAACTGAATTGTCTGTGATGTACATGAGATAAACTGAAAGGAGAGCAATGAAGATGATGAGTTGGAAGGCTGTTTTTTTTTTTTTTTTTAAAGATTTTATTTATTTTTTAGAGAGCGAGCGAGAGCGAAACAGCATGAGAGGAGAGAGGGTCAGAGGGAGAAGCAGGCTCCCCGCTGAGCCGGGAGCCCGATGTGGGACTCGATCCCAGGACCCTGGGATCATGACCTGAGCCAAAGGCAGACGCTTAACCATCTGAGCCACCCAGGCGCTCCTGGAAGGCTGTTTTAAGGAGCCACATCAGAAGTGATAAAAACCTACTGAGGAGTGACTGCTAATGGGTACAGAGTTTTTTGGGGGAGGTGATGAAAATGTTCTCAAAATTGATTTTGATGACAGTTGAACACCGTGTGAATATGCTTTTAAACCATTTAAGTGTATATTTTAAATAGGTAAGTTGTATGGTATGTGAGTTTTCTCTCAAGCTGTGAAAAAAAAAAGTGCTGAAAACCTGAACTGATATGAGGGTGGGTGAGGGTGGAAGCAAAAAGGTTGGAGCTGGTGTTACAAGAGCTTTAAGCCTGAGCAACTGATAGAACAGTAGTGCCATTAATAGAGAAACTGGACAGAGATTTTGCCAAAAAAAAAAAGGCTTAGTGAGATAATAAAACCATTAATTACCTGGTAGTACCTAATAATCAGCTGATATTTAAATTTCCTCAATTGGCCAAGTAATGGCTTTTATAGTTGTTTTTTGTTTTTGTTTTTTTTTAAAGTAGGCTCTAAGCCCAAAATGGGGTGTGAAGTCAGGACCCTGAGATCAAGAACTGCATGCTCCACTGACTGAACCAGCCGGTTTTTCAAACCAGGATCATGCATTTGGTTGTTACATCTTTTGTTAGTCTCCTAGTTTTTTTTAATAACGTTGACTTTTTCAAGCATATTCACACAATGGAAATTATTCAGCAATAAAACAAAAAGGAATAACTGGTATTGTGAAAATTCATCAAAGGAAACCTCATTTAAAATAGAGTCATTGGGGGTGCCTGGCTGGCTCAACTGGAAGAGCATGCCGCTCAGGTCATGAGTTGGAGCCCCAGGTTGGGTGTAGAAATTACAAAAAACAAACAAAAAAACCTTTGAAAATAAACAGGCAGATGAAATGGAGTCAGAAGCCATAAGGGGGTGCTCTCATGCCCTATCAATCTGTCAACTGCTGATCCAGTAAGAAAAGGGG